GTTGTCTTTGCTTACTCCCTGGAAATTGCCATAGTATGTTCTATAGCCCTGCGGCGGAGCGGAGGGCTATAGTTCTAGAGCTAGTGTCACTATAGCTCTAGAACTATAGCCCTTCGCTCCGCCGCAGGGCTATAGAACATACTATGGCAATTTCCAGGTAGTAAGCAAAGACAACTTTTTACGGTTAACAACTTCTTTGGTACGCCAAATAAAGCACATTCTCTGTCGCACAAATGTCTTAAGTTACTGCAAACACTAAAATTAAACTGCAAACTAACGGTTAAATGCTGTACTTGCTATATTACTCAACAACGAAGATTATTTACAAACTTGTCACCGCCATTTTTCATTGCGGGGCGCTAGCGCGGTTCTGGCGCCAGTGAGCGGGCACAATGTATTTCCAAGTGGAGGGGTGGGCAGGTTGCACGCGGTTGCAGGCTGTTGCGGCAGACAGAAGACCGATGGCAAAGACCCGCGTATCGATGGAGAAACAGGAGAATACGCGCGTATCGATGGCAACAGAAACAGAAACAGAAATAGAAACGACGGTGTTGATATAACCGCGTGCAATCTGTCCACCCCTCCACTTGGAAATACATTGTGCCCGCTCACTGGCGCCGGAACCGCGCTAGCGCCGCGCAACGAAAAATAGCGGTGACAAGTTTGTAAATTATTTTCGTTGACGAGTAATATAGCAAGTACAACATTGAACCGTTAGTTTGCAGTTTAATTTTAGTGTTTGCAGTAACTTAAGACATTTGTGGGACAGACATGGGCGTACATAGCGGGGGGCAGGGGGTGCACCTGCCACCCCCCCCCCAGAAATATAAATTTTCAACCCGTAGCGGGGTCATAACAATGTTTCCAGGGGTAGCTCGCTCTGGTCTAAGTCTTCTCTCATCTACTGCCCCCCCCCCCCAACTGAAAATTTCCTGTGTACGGCTTTGGCGACAGAGAATGTTCTTTATTTGGCGTACCGAAGAAGTTATTAACCGTAAAAAGTTGTCTTTGCTTACTACCTGGAAATTGCCATAGTATGTTCTATAGCCCTGCGGCGGAGCGGAGGGCTATAGTTCTAGAGCTATAGTGTCACTATATAGCTCTATCAGACCTCAGTAGCTGTCAGTACATGATCAGTACTACTAGTACTAGTACTACATGTGACCGAGTCGTGACGTGATTTGAACGACATCTATTTATATATTTGGCGCTTGTCCTACTGCTGCTGCTGCTGCTGCTGCTCTGCTGCGATGCACTTTCTCGCTGTACCCGTGACATGTTACAGCATGTTTACACATCGTACGACATCGTTTGTGGCTCCATCTTCTGGGAATTTGTACTTTTTTAGCTTTTTATCACATACTATAGTACGTATTGGTTATTTTCTTAGATTCTGATTCGCACGCGCTATACCATCGTACGTACAACATAGTACAACATAGTACAATATCATAGTACATATCATAGTACATATCAAATATCATAGTACAATATCATAGTACAACATAGTACAATATAGAACAAGCAGACAAATGCCTACCATTGAATGTCCAAACTTTGATAACTGTGACTATAGAGATCTAACGTTTCACCAGGATAGATCGTAAATGGTAAACAAAAACCAGAGCAAAATGCTAATAATTAAAAGAAATGTAGGTTCTGATTTTATTACTATTCATACAGAGGTAAGACAGATATGCACAAAATATGCACACAAAATACAGCCAAATTGGCACATTGTATGCAGTTTTCATGGTTTCAAAGTGTCCCTGTCTCGGCCGGCTCTCAAACGGGGCATTTTCTCACCGGATGCAGAGGCGCGTAAGTGCCTCACCTATAGCTGCAGAGGCATGAAGCGCCGAGGCAGCTCGTCAGTAATAATAGGCGATAGAGAGTAAAGAAACATTAAGACTTATTTAACATTAAGTAGTAATTATAGAGCTGTAACGATCCACCGAAATCGAATCGAATCGCGATTCTGTTCCCTCGATCCGATCCTCGAAGCTTTTTCCCGTATTTTCGATCCGATCCAACCCGCTAGTACTTCTTACTGTGTGCATTGGCCAAAGCGTGTATGAGACGCCCGCTCTGATTGGTCAATAGTCCTGACTCGCCAGTCAGCTAATCAGCGGCTACAGTACATCGCTAATATGTTTACAGGGCTGCAGTTAGACGTGACTGCTCATGTTACACTGCTTGTCGAGCGCGGACCAGTCTAGGCTGCAGTTTCCCGAGTTTAATTATGTGCTTAAAGTTATTTTGTTAAATAAAATTGAGAAAAAAGAAAGAATGTAATAGTTGGTTAAGAGTTTTTATTGCAAAATAATGAAAATATAAACAATAAGATAACATTTCATTATTTTGGCAATCAAATCGAAGGAATCGAATCGAGAGGCTAATATCGAGATATGGATCGAATCGAGAGGCTTGTGTATCGTTACAGCCCTAGTACTAGTAGTAAATACATTTCATGTTTATTTACCATCATTTTATTATTGAAACATTCCAAGTGCCTGTGGCTGTGGCTATGCACTCGATTGCATGCATGGCTATCTCTAGAATTATAGGATAGCCCTTCGCTCTGCCACAGGCTGACAGAACGGACAGGCCTGTAGTGGAGCGAAGGGCTATAGTTCTAGAGCTATAAAATGGCTATATATATACATCATGCACGTAGACAACACAACACACTTACGGAGGCACTTAATTTGGCCATTTTATTGATAAAATGATAGTAAATAACCACGACGTGTAATTACTACTAAAGTCTTAATGTTTATTTTACTCTCTATTGCCTATTATTGCTCTTAGGAATAATTTGTCGTAATTACCGTTCAAATGACAAATGCTCCTCTGCAACACAGTCTCACCGCACACACGCCACTGTGCACTGCACGAACTCGTAAAAAGATCTCTTATCTTTCTGTCGATAAAATGTATGTAATTAGGAAAATGTATACATAAATTATAGCTAGGTGTGTGTGGTGTTTTGAATCATTTGTGTATACATTAAAATCCATGTAAGTCATGGGTTCCTCCCACGTCCCAAATGTCTGCCCTCTGTGTCCCTCGCTAAAATTGCGGACTGTTCGCTGGCAGCTATGGATTCGTCCGCTGACCTATGCATTCGGCGCACGGATCCATAGCTGCCAGCGCTGCATACTGTCATAGGACGTTCCCGCGGTCGCGTGCGCCTTGCCGCGGAACTGCGCGCAAGATGTGCGCTCAGCGCTTAGGATCAACACATCCTTCGGCAACACGTCTCTGGTATCCCGTCTCTCTGGATGCTATTAAACTAGCCAGGGTTGTGAAATAGGCTTATATATCTCGATGGAACAGTGCCAGCTAGTACGATCTACACTGGTGTGATATACAATGAAATATTGTGGCTGTACTTGCCTTAAGAGTTGTCCGAATAACTTATAAAAAGATTTCCAATAATTTGGTGCACAACAGATAATCAGAATAAAAAGGGGAATAAATGCTATTTATACCACATGTTATGCATAATGATTGATTAATTTCATCGGATTTCTATAGTTCACATAAAAATAAAGTTGATCTCAGTTAGATCCATAATAAGCTATAATTACTTACAACGACTGATATTGATCGTCGTTGTAAGTAATTATAACTTATTATGGATCTACCTGAGATAAACTTTATTTTTATGTTATGCATAATGTTGATGTATAGGAAGACATAATATACAGTTTCATAAGTGACGTAGTCAAAGGTTATCTGATTGGCCTATGATCGTTATGACAGGACCAGCACTACCCATTGACGATGAAGAGCAGGAGCATGACGTGCATGATGCAAAGAAGTCTGCAAAAGCTAGAAAAAAATCGGCATCCAAGTTTGGAGTTGATTCTTTATTACAAAAGGTAAGAGGAAATTGTAAGCTTTCTAACCTGGTAACAATTATACATTATATAGTGTTACTAAGAATACTGATATTTTACATACTACAAATATTCATAGTGAGGTATAATATATTAATTTGTTAGCTAAGCAAAATATGTTGTTATGCGATACAGTCACACCAGACTAGTAAATATGTAATTTCCTCTATTCATTTGTCTATACCAGTGACACATTTTACATATTGCATGTGCATTAAACACTGTTACCGTGTGATTGGTAAATTTGGGAATTCAATTGTAGGCGCAAGAATGCATAGACAGGTTTGACAATGACGTAGCGAAAAAGTTTTGTGACAGAGCTTTGGCCATAGAACCAGACAACGTAAATGTTCTTGAAACAACTGCATCATTATTGCTGGAAACTGGGCAGGTTGAACAAGCTGTAAAAGTAAGTCAATTTGTATATGTATGCAAGCATTGTAAATTACAATTTTCTTATTTTATTAAGCAAATATGTAATTGCTAAACTTTAGGAAGTGTGTTTATAAAAGTCTGGCTATAATGTTGGTGCGAGGTCAAGCAATCAGTAATTGTGTCTTTGCCTTCGTTTGTTAATAAACAGTGGGTACATCAGAGTCATCTGCTACTGTAGATGCAAATGAGCAAAATCATTCCATATATAACGTTTGAAGCTCTTACTTCGTAATGAGCCTATACAGCTGTGGTCAATGCTTACACGAGAGATGAAATAGCTGTTACAATGGGGTTAGCCATTTACTAATCGCTTGATAGATGGCGCGCGTGCACTGTCCGGTATCACTGCTAAACAATGGCGTCTAGTTACGAAGGGAAAACCGTAAATGAATTGAAATCAGAGTTGCAAAGTAGGGGTGCAAAGACATCTGGGAGGAAAGCTGATCTGATAGAAAGGTAAATTAATTAACCTACCTGCTCTCTAAAGTAGCACGTACACGTACACGTACACGTACGCTTGCGTGTGTGTGCACGTACACGTGCGTGCGTGCGTGCGTGCGTGCGTGCGTGCGTGCGTGTGCACGTACAATTGCGGGACTGCGTAAGTGCGTGCGTGCGTGCGTGTGTACGTACACATGCGTGCTTGCGTGCGCACGTACACGTGCTTGCATGCATGTGCAAGTGCACGTGCGTGCATGCGTGTGTGTGCACGTACGCGTGCGTGCGTGTGTGCGTGTGTACGTACACGTGCATACATGTGCACGTACACGTGCGTTCGTGTGCATGTACACGTACACGTACGTGCGTGCGTGCGTGCATGCGTGTGCAAGTACACGTGCGCGCGTGCGTGGGTGCGTGTGCACGTACACATGCGTTCGTCCTTGCGTGCGTGCGTGTGCACGTTACGTACACGTGCGCGCATGTGCACGTACACGTGCGTGCGTGCGTGTGCACGTACACGTGCGTGCGTGCGTGGGCACGTACACGTGCGTGCGGGCGTGCGTGCGTGTGCACGTACACGTGCGCGCGTGCGTGGGTGCGTGTGCACGTACACGTGCGTGCGTGCGTGCGTGCGTGCGTGCGTGCGTGCGTGTGTACGTACACGTACGTGCGTGCGTATGCACGTACATGTGCGTGCGTGCGTGCGTGCGTGTGCACGTACACGTGGGTGCGTGCGTGCGTGCGTGTGCACGTACACGTGCGTGTGCACGTACACGTGCGTGCGGGCGTGCGTGCGTGTACACGTACACGTGCGCGCGTGCGTGGGTGCGTGTGCACGTACACGTGCGCGCGTGCGTGTGTAAGTAATGTATACCGGTCCAGATACGCACGCCATCTTGTGGTGAACTGATTGGCTAACCTCATTTGATGCAGTATCAAACTCAAGAGCTATATGGCTTGTTCTTCCTGGTACGGCTCGTGTAAACTTTGACACTTTATGTGTCAATAATTTGATGTTTTATGGTTGTGTCCTGCCATGCTACCTGTCTTGTTTTCTAGTGTTTGCAGAAAGCAGTGAAACTGAATCCCAATGCTGGCCATACAAAATATTTGAGTTTAGGCCAGGTGCTGGAGGGTGAAGAGGCTTTAAAAAGTTATCAGAAAGCTGTGGAGCTGCTGCTAATGGCTAGAGAAGCAACTACCACTGCTGAGGTGAGTACCATATATGGAACCCGTGTGCGGTGAATGTTAAATTGTGTGCAGGTGCCTATGTGCAGGTAGGTGCACATGTGTATTAACAGCGTTCTGCTGGTTCAAATTTTGACTACCGTGTTAAATATATGAAAAAACAGTTAATAATTTTTATTTCTTTGTTGTCATCAAAAGCAAGGTTACTTTGTCATTTTTAAATATTTACTATGTGTATAGGTGGCAGCATCAGCTAGTTCAAGTGCAGCCTGCAGTGTAGCCTCCAGTTTAGCCAGAGATATATCATCAGTATACTGTTCTATTGCTGAACTATACATGACAGACTGCTGGTAGGTGTGATAGCCCAATCAATGCTAGTTGCTGTCACTGACGTAATTACATCTGTATACTCATCAACTCCTATCACTATGTCCCTATTCATGAAATAAAAGCAAATCAGAACACTGACTGAGTCTTTATGTCATGCATGGTGCAGATGGTATAGGCTAATTTAGAGGTCTGGGAAACAGTCTTCATTTGTCCAGCCTAGGATCTATAGCTATACCTGCTGTATACACTGTGGGTCATTCATTTATGGTTGTGGGGCAGTTGGTGAATGACAAACTTGACAAGATAGCGACAGGTCAAACTAGACATTAATGGTGGTGAAGTCATGGTTAAATAGTCAAATATCTGATATCCCCTTTAAATTTTATTATAGGATCAGTGCACAAATTGTTCTATGTGCCAGGCTTCTATGACATTAGCTTGTGGTTCTAGCTTGTACACCATTTCATTTTCTAAATCATTATCAATGCCATTAAAAACAATTAGTATTGTGATAGGGAAAAGCATAAGTGTAGTGTTGCAGAGACCATTCTTCATGAATTTTTATTTATTATAATGTTAGTAAACAGTAAATTAAAGAAAGCCTGACCCTAAATTTGTGTTCTTGATTACCTGTATATATAGTCAACTTGCAGTAGATTAAGCTTGCACATTAATTTCCTGCTTAATTTCTTTGTGCTCTTATGACATGACCATATCACCGGTTAATGAAGACCTTCCATTCTTTGCCATTTGTTTATAACGGGGACATAACCAATTGTTAGGTGATGTCTGACTGTTATCATTCCAAAGCCCCTTACTATGTTGCTATCAGTAACCAGTAATACGCATAATTACTGCCATTAAATTTATCACTTTTTACAAGTTTGTGTTTCTTGTAAAGTTTTGCAGATGATGCAGAGCACAAATGCAAAGATTACATTGAGAAAGCTATAGAGATTGATCCTACTAGTCCTGAGGCTTACCAGCTGAAAGCCAGCTATTTTATCACTATTGGTTGTACACAGGTAAGAAACTTTAATATTAGTACTATGATGGAAAAATATAGATTCAATAACAATTAAATCGAAGAAAAAAAATGTTTTTGAAGATGAGTAAAACCTGCCCAATACAGTTTTGTTAATAAAAGTATAAAATATGATCATAGCCATCATTAAGTATTTATGGTTTACTAGTTGGTTAAGGTTTTCTTATGCACACCAGCATTTAAGGATAGTTCATGGCAGGTTCACATAAATTCACATAAATAGTATGTGAAACCAAACTTGGTCAGAGAACGTTTAATTATAGATACCTGTGAGTATAACTGGAAAACCTATAACTGTATAAACTGTATTCACTTCATTAAAGTCAACAATACAAGAAAGCCGATTAAAGTTAAAAGCTAGTGAATTCACATGAAAACAATTTAAACTCATAGGATGCTAGAACTTCCATGGAGGAAAGTTTGTCACTATGGTTGCCTGCAATGAAACATCTACAGGAAGGAAAACTGGCTGAAACTGACAAAATTGATCCTGTTGAGGTACATATTTGCTGAGTTCTTTTATCATCCATCTGATCTGGAGAACATTACAGTAAGAAGTGTAACAGTTACATAATACTAAAATGCTGACGTATATTGATAATTGCATAATGTTTAATGTTGTCTTGCTCATATGTGGTATGTATTAAAAGAATATTCAATTAATTTTACCTTATTACTTTATTCTTAGGTCTGTCCTCTGAGTATACAAAACAGAATATCTGCAGCACAACTGCTTATTGAGCTAGAGAAATATGATGTAAGTCCATACATAATACACTGTAATGCAGTAGATTGAAGACTCACTTAAAACATCTTCATTTCTAATTCTGTAGGTGTTGATCGAGGTCTTGGATCTCACTCCAGTGTAGATTGTATTTGGCCTGTAAGTTTAATTGAATCGTGACTTGGATTTTCCTTATCAATTTGCAGTGTTGATTTGCATTATTAAATTAAATCATATTAATAATGTATTAGATAAGATTTCCCAGTTCTTTACTGATTTGATTACTGGGATAAAGTATTATATTTGACGAGTGCTAGTACTATGGAAAATAATGTATTCATACCATGGTTATCGCTAATTAAGTAGTAAGTAATTGTGCCTGCCAAACCTTGTAGCCATAATAACATAGAATGATGAAAATGCTGACAACGAAGATTGTGTTTCGCTATAACACTTAAAATACGAATTCTTACAGAAAGCAAGTGAAGTGTTGGATCTGCTACTGGATGAAGATGAGGACATTGTCATGGTGAGTTGTTGAATGCTTGTGAAATGTGTTCTGCCTTATACTGTATATTTATATATACATATTCGTGTACTGTACATACATGCATGTAAATATATGCATGGCATATGTAAGTAATAAAAATAATTTCAATTAAATTACCAAGTTCGATCAAATTACCTTACTGCAATTAATGTAATTACACAATTATATAAAAATCGTGACTAATATATTGCACAACCATTGTTCTTCAGGCTTGGTATTTGCTCGCTTGGCTTAATTATCTGAAAGGTGAAGACTATCATGGAAATGCAAGGTTTTATCTCATAAAGACCAAAAAGGTAAGAGTGAATCTCAGTTATTTTTTTGTCAGCTAAAGTTATAGAATGATGTGATTGCATTTATTAACCGTTGGTTGTTGGATGTGTACGTGGCGTTCCAAGTAGAAAACTGATGCAGCCGTTCATATGTGGTTTTAAGATAGTGTTTTAATAAACGTTTCAATGATGTTCATATTTGATTCGTAGGAATATGGTAAAAAAAGTCATTACATCAAGTGGGAAATTAAAGGACAATTGAAGTCAAATTTTCCCAACTTCTGTAACGTTTTTATACATATATGTCGCTCAACTTGGAGCCGTGACGTCACATGACCTAGATTACTATTCAGGTGTTTATTACTAATTGGGCGCCGGATTTGAAATGGAATACATTATTGAATGTATTTCTATGTATAAAAACGTTACAGAAGTTAGAAAATTTGACTTCAATTGTCCTTTAAGGTCAAAATGGTCGTAGGGTAAAATCGTACATATTGCACATTATACATTCACACGTATGTCATTTTTGGTATGTGTATGTGTGCAGAATTCAAGCATACTTTGCTAGATTCTATAAACCTTATATCGGTCCTAAAACTTATGAGAATACATGTGTCAAGTGGTTGCATTATTGTATAATTATAATGAATTTAATCCTCATAGCTGAAATTATTTTCCTGATAGACTTACATATGTTATGAATTAAGAAAAGTTAGCAACCGTGCATGTTAGCAAGAATTGGAAAATTAATTAGTATTGGTTCACAAGCAGCGTGCACATCTCATTCCATGCCCCTGTTGTATTGTTGTTTAGCCAAAGATCATTTTTTACTCTACTTTTTTAAACGTTGGGTGGATTTATATGCATCATAACAAATGCATGTGATTGGTGTTAGGGGAGGGGGGGGTCCGGCTTTGAGACTATCCCTCTATACATATAGATTTCACACATGACCGTTTCTTTAAGTGAGTGGGCAGGGTGATAAAAATTCATCTAGACTAGCAGGCCCTCTAATAGTATTTGCGGTTATACTGTTAGTGATTTTCTCATGATTGAATAAGTGAGTGCATTACAGTTGACTGCTGCCATAATTATTTTTATGTTGCCATAAAGCTTACTACACTGGCAGAACAGTCAATGTTAATACACAGTTGTGAATGTATTTATAAAATGCACGTTTTTATTTGCACTTGGTGGCAGCCAGGTGCGTTCATGAGAGAACTATAGTATATAGATTTAGGAACCTACATATACATGTTGTTACCTCCGCCAGGGGCTTGGCGGAGGTTATGTTTTCACCGGCGTGTGTTTGAGTGTTGGTTTGTGGGTTTGTGCACGCCGTTCGCTGATTGGCTTGATTGGCCCGGCCACCGCCCGCCGCCGCGCCACCGCCGAACGCGCCTGTTTCATACAGGTTAAGCCTTTAACTGATGACGGATTGTCATAAATTTTTAAGGATATTTCAGGGAAATGGGCTCTTAGATGTGAGATTTTGGTGGGGGGGATCCAGATCCAATTCATTCATTCATTCATTCGATTAATTAATAAATTTTCAGGATAGCGTCAGAAATGGAGTAAACTTAGAATTGATTACATTTTTGGGGTGATCCGGCACTCCAATTAATTATTAATTAAATTAATTTAATAAAATTTCCAGCGATAGGTCAGAATGGGGTAACTTAGAATTGATTACATTTATCTC